ACATCATCACATACATGCCGCAATCATATCTGTTACAAAATTTGAAAACCACACATGTCAATTATGATGAATACTGCATAAATTAAGCTTTCTATTTGTGATAACATCTCATACCCATTCAATTGCTTATTCTTCTTATGCTCCACAAATTTGAAATTTTTCAAGGGATACTTTCCTAGAGATCCACATGACTCAACCCAAATGCGTTTCTTATTATAAGAATCTAATATTTTAATCTGCATTAAAATAGAAGAAGTTATGCACCAAAAAAATTATGCATTATAATTTACATAATGTCCTTTCATACATACATACATACCAATCTCTTAGCATCCTTCACTCTCTGTTTAGCTGCTTCAGTTGTAAACATACTATCATATATTGTTACAACATGATCTACCATATCCAACACCAACAGATACCAATGTGAATTATGGTAGTTTATTGTGATCATTATCTGCAACAAATTTCACACCCAATTTGACAAAATTCAACATTCTATATCCGAAAACATCATTTGCAATTGGTATGGTGTCTTACCTTCTCACAGTCGGTAAATTTCACATAGTTATCCAATATGACACCCCAGAAGGTAGAAATATTCTCAACACTTTCTTTGTTGTTGGCTTCCAACGCCTGTTGCTGTAATTACGCAACAAACATTATTAATTTACCGTCTATAACACCACTTTTCAATATTTATTAATTTAACTCACCACTAAGAGGTATGGAAGGTAGCCAATCCTCCGGTGTGACTTTTGAGAATCGTAGCATATGGTCCAGGCGAGCAAATCGATAACCTAACAAAATTAATTACACAATCAGAACATATTCAATAAGTTTTATTTATTTTCTACTTTCTACTTACCACACCGCCAACCCATTCCGTAGGCTTCAACGTTGCAACGTCGTATACAGTAGCGAATTGATTTCCCATTGATATTACAGAATATCTGTATGAATCATTAGGATTAATATCTTGTCATGAAATATTTAAATATCACTCACAAAACAATATATTTCACTTACCCCGATTCTAACTCGCTATTCCATAAATAATCACAAATTGCAGCTTCGATGTCATCAATTCCGGTTGGAATATCCGCTTTTTCAACCTACAATTTTGCATACAAATTTTGTCACAACAACATAATAAAAATCAAATTAAGTATTCTTTTATTAAACTTACCTTCTGCTTCTTCTTCTGGGGTGCAGGACATTCCGAATCCAAAACTGCTGCTATAACACTCTCCGGTGTATAAATGACATCGACTTCCTTCCTCCTCATTTCTTCCATCTCTTCTTCTTCCTCCTCCCTCTTTTCTTCTTCATATTTTTTCAGTTCATCGTACTTTTTTCTACATAGCTCTTCATATCTTTTATTTCACCCTTCAATTGAGCTCCTTCATCTGAGTATTTATCAACCACCCCCTTCACCCCCGTAAGTTCACTCCTCAAATCAACAACCTCCTTCACCACTCCCTCAAATTTTTCTCCCGTCACCATCTTAATATCACCCCTTAACACCCCAACTTCTTTCACCACTTCACCCCTCAACACCTCTACTTCTTTCACCACTCCATCTATTTTTCCTTCCACTACCCCCTTATGCCTCTCGAGTGTATCTTGGACTCTCTCGAGTTTCTCTACGACTTGATCAAGTTTCTCTTCGACTCTTGATTGTCTTTGCATGATTTCAAATTGGATTTTTTTGATATCAGCCAATTCAGACATCAAAATGTCGAAGTTACTCTGTTTTGCTTCACCGTCGTCCCACTCACCTTCATCCCCCAATACAACCATCCCTCCTTTCTTCTCCTCTGCCTCCTCTACATCCTTGCCAATAACCTTCAAAAAATTAAATTACAATATTAAGACATTGATTATATTCTTAATATTATTTAATTACATTTATTACCATTTCTTGCTTCTTCCCTCTATCCAACTTCAACTTCACCATCACTCTAACCACCTCTTCCTTCCCCCATGCACGGATGCGTGCCACTCCGGTTCTTTCATAAGCCGGCACTGCCTCACAGCCCGACCAAAAATCGAACAGTGCAACCTGCATTTATAATAAAATTTATATTTTTATATAAAAACATAAAAAAGTGATTCAACTCATTTACCTCTAAGATTGCTATGCACCCTTTGAGGTATCTCTGGCTGCCCTTTTTAAAGGTGATTATTGATTCAATCAATCTCGAATGGATATATTCAGCCCAATTGAATTCACCCTTCAAGCCTTCATCGCAAATGAGCTTCATATATTCCTTGTTCGTTGACGTATCACCCGTTGGACAAAGAAATATCCCGACAAGGTACAATAGAACTCGGGCCTTCAGCTCATCCCCCAAGTAAGATCCACTTTTGATATCCTCTTCAACTTCAGTATATGTCACCTTATGATTCAAACCATATTTGGAGGCAAGTGCTTTCCAGTTCTTACTCCTACAGACTTCTATAACACTTTTGCCTTTGTTTTGTACCCCCAATACGGCTGCAGCAGTCGATACCCCCAGAGGGAATGAATAATCACCATACTTAGCCATACATTGACTGACGTCAAATTGTGCCATCAAGGATCGACACAATTCCCTCCGAATAGGTCGATCCCTTACTCCAATCAACGATCCAAAACCTATTTCTCCCAGCACATTCAACTGACCATTCTCCTTAAGGTGTTTAATTAATAAATTCACCCTTTTAATGCTGCATCTTGTCGACACTTCCTACATTTTTTAACAATATATAATGTTATAGTTCTTATATATTTTGTATCAACGTATTTACAAGTTTAATGAATACCTTATTTTCGGGGGCTTTCCTCCGTTCTTTGTATTCTTTACTATCATTCCTTGACTGTGTGATGTAAGGTTCCTTTTCAGCATCACTCATTGAATTCCATTTGGACCTCACATCTTTTTTCACCTAATATTAAACATAAACGTTTCTTAATCAATACATTAACACTAAATATTAATACTACTCAATGTCAATTTCATTTTACATACCGAACCGCTCTGTGTGCCATCTCCCTTCATCCTTTTGCATTCAGCCATACTGTTAACATTTAAAATTTGTAATCAATTTAAAGTTTATCGATACTTTAATCCAATTACCATTTCAACAATAATAACAAAAAGACATTGATACTTACTAGAAGTACATATATCCACCCTTTGGTTGCTTTCGAGTCTCGGCCTCAATTTCAAAGTCATCTGCTCCACCAACAATTTTCCAACCCATTGACTCCATTTTTCCTTCATATATCAGTTTACGCAAATCAAATTATTTTGTTACATACACTTTTCAATATACAAATATAGATAACTACTCTTGTGGTAAAACGGTTTTCTTCAAAAGAATTTGAATGGCCACACCAAAATGTGTCGGCACATTTATACAACCTATAATATCATTTTCTACCTATAATATTTAATAAAAGTATCGACATTTATATTTTTCCTTGAATATCTATTTCTACCTGCAATCGGTCCCAAATGCTTCCTTACTCCAAAACCCCAAACAACACATAAAAAACCCTATCGCGATTACTGTAATAATAAAAAATTAGGGTTTCGACAACATACTTTTCGATTCGACTGCAGCAACAAACAAACAAACTTCGCTTTAGAAACGCCTTCTGAAATGCAGCAACAATTACTCTTCGATTTCAAAAACTCGTCCGTTCTATCTTTTTTCAGAGGATATTTAGCTATGGCCTTTATATTTTCATCGGATATGTTATTTATATTTAATCGATACAAATACAAAAGTGTCGATACTTTTATGTCAGGTGTCGATACTTTCGAAAGGATAATTACCTATTTCTTTGAAAGTGTCGATAATTTATTACACGTACTTACGAAAGTATCGACACTTTCAATATATCCGGTATCATTTTACCGGTTTTATCATTTTGTTACCGGTTTATCATATTTTTACCTGTTATATCGTTGTGGATCGATATTTTTTAATGTATCGACACATTATAGGCGCTATAACTGCTTCTCTTTTAAATTCACAAAGTGTCGATCCTTATATAACGTATCGACACTTTTAAATTGACCGGTTTTATCATTTTGTTACCGGTTTTATCATATTTTTACCTGGTATATCGTTTTGGATCGATATATTTTTTAAAAGTATCGACACTTTTTAGGATTTAAAACTGCTTTTAAAGTTATGTAATTTATGTTTAAATTTATTTAATAGTGTTTCATGTTTTCCACCTACAATATTAATTTAATAATTTAATTTATACAAAATTTTATTTGATTGTTTTGATATTTTATAAAATATTATTTAGAATTTAAATTTAACAATATTAACCAAATAATTTAATAAATATGTTTTCAACAGTGAAATAAGTATGGACACTTTTATAAAAATGATATATACTTTTTTGAAAGTTATGTAATTTATGTTTCAATTTTTTTAATAGTGTTTCATGTTTTCCACCTACAATATTAATTTAATAATTTAATTTACACAAAAAATTATTTGATTGTTTTGATATTTTATAAAATATTATTTAGATTTTAAATTTAACAATATTAACTAAAGATAATAATAAATATATTTTCACAGTGAAATAAGTATGGACACTTTTATAAAAAGGATAGATAATTTACAATATAACAGGTAAAAATATGACAAAACCAAATTCATTATGACAAAACCGGTAAAATTTACTTGATATGTTAAACGTATAGACACTTTTATAAAAATGATAGATACTTACCGATAACCAAAGTTTACCGGTTACCAAATTTTTTAATAGTTTTTCATATTTTCTACCTAAAACATTATTAGTTGTCAACATAATAGGTACCGCTAAACCGAATTTATTAAATACATTTTAATATATCCGGTAATGCTGTATATTAGCCGTATATTAACCCGCCTTTCCTGAGACAATCCCCATCATCATGTTTAATCTAAATTAAACTAGAAAAGTAGTTAGTGTTACGTTATAAAAGAATCAAGTTAATCTGAAAATTTTGACGCAATATTCCATTAGTTTCCATGTAATTAAAAGCTTCTATAACACAAGAAGGGAATCCTGGAGGCGACTTCCGAAGTCCGGCTTACTACCATTGAGTGCTCATCAAGTAACTTACAAGGCAGCTCGCCTGAGCAGGCCTCGGGAAGCTCTAGAAGTTTAATGAATCGTCCTCCTGTTACTCTCATGCCATGCAACAACATCGTTATAAGCTAAGTTGCCCCCGAAAATATCCAAGGCACTTCCCACGGTAACGTCCACTCGTCCCTTCCCTGCTGCTTTTATAGTCTCTAAATCATCCACTACCGTCACACCGCCGGCATAAGTAACAGGAATCTGCAAAATAAAGACCGAGATATGTCGGAATATTTTAACTGAAATATACCATCCCCAGGCTCAAGTGTATAATCTACCAACCGGAGAATGCTCGCCTAACAATGCCACGAGATCTTCATCTATTCCCAGCCTGTAATAAAAGAGCAACCAGGTAAAACCTACAAGAGCATAAGAACCAGCATTCAGGGCAATTTGCATAAACACAGTAAGGACTTACTTTTTCCCTTCAACATCCACACCATGGACCAAAAATTCATCCGCATATCCGGCAAGAAAACTCAATACTTCCTCATCAAGATAGACATCAGTGAATTTTTGCCACCGCTCAGTAACGATGGCATATTTGTCATCCTGAAATTGAAACCAGCACCTTATGATTCAAACAACGGCCAAAATCAAAATACAGCATTCTATCAACTCTGTAGGTAACAGTCGGGAGTAAGGGAGGAGAAGGATATAGAATGTTCATGGCGATATCAAAAGAGATTTCTCCGAGCATTTAGGGAGCTGAAGACAGAAATATTTCCAACCTTCTTCCTGCAGCTAAGGTCCAAGACGAGTCTTTGCTTCCCAACAACATCGACAAGACTTTTGAGCCTTTGAAGGTCCATTTTCCCATTGTTAAATACAAACTACAACAAACCAAACAAGAAAGTAGGCAAACATGTTAGGATTCCATGCCTTGCAACTAGCAATGTTAAAATTCGGTTATCATACTGAAGTGACAATGACATGGCTGGCTCCTTCATCGATGTAACTCAAACAATTGGCTAAATTGATCCCACCTCCTACTTGCAAGCCACCTAGATTTTTTCCCATTCAGTAGAGGGAAGGTCAGCAAGTATTAAACATATTACCGAATATAGAATATAGATAACAACGATGAGACCATCACTCTCAAGAAACTTCATTCATGACTACATTACAAGCAGTAGAAGCTTGCGTCATGACATGAAAATGTACAAATCAAACCAGGATTGACATCTGCCTTTCAAAGCTTTCACAATGATTTCATGTACTTTAAGCAAGAGAAAGAAAATTAAGCCAAAGGTATAAGAATATCGGAATCCAAAGATGAACAACTTGTAAAATGCTTCCTATTCAACATGAGTATATATAATATAGTAGCAGCACTATACTAGTCTGTAGTTATAATCTAAGAATATGAGAATTACCACGAAATAATCTGAAACACAGCATTTAAAAGTCTCAATTTACCTAAGAAAATCCAAGCATTTACAAATGAAAACAAAGTTCGAACAACTTAAATTGACCATTAACTCTGCATCCATCTTTAAACCAATAATTTCAGCAATCATAAAAAGTACCATGCTAAAAAATTAAGCAAAGAATCGAATCGGAATAAACCGATCACTTAATATGAAAACTAAAATATCAGCTTTTACCAGGATATGCATGCAACGCTTCAAAGGCTGCTGCTTGGCTCAGAGGATCAGCTCCAAGCATGATTACATGACCACCCGTTAGCCCGTCTTTTTTGTACAACTTGGCAAACTCGGCTGCCGACTTATCCGATTCGAAATTGGTTACAAGGGCTAATTCATCCTCCTTCGAATCTCTAAGGGTTGACCCAACAATTTGTTTCACTTTCCCCTAGTAATGAATCATATTTTAAGTGTCAAGAAATAAGGCAAAATCCCAAACCCAATCCCGCGCAAGCACAAATACATAAAGGAGAAAAGAGTAAGCATTCTGAAACCAAAACAAACCAAACAACGAAACAAATAAAAACCATCCCTTTGTATTGAATTTACCTTGTGAATATCAATGCAAGGTCGAAAACTGACAGCGCAACGAACAGAGGAATGACAATATTCTGCGAGAAGAAGAAAAAAAATGGAAAAAAAAAGTGAGATCGAAGAAACCCAATAAGGAAAAGCCAAAAGGGAAAATGGTAAGGAAATGGAGAAATACTGAAACTTAGTGAAGGGATGGCTCTTGGAAATTGATAGTTTGTAAAGCCATAAAAGGAAGACTTGAAATTGGTGCCATGGGAAATGCTACTCAGCTTCCTTATCGAACAACTGCCATGGAGGCTGCTGCTTCTCATCTTTGAAATCTCAAAACCCCTCGGCCTAGACAAAAGGGGAAGGGATTTTATTTTAATTAATTCTGGCAAACTTGACCCATTATTAGTATTGATTTGTCCGACTCGAAATTCGATATAAACCTGTTTATAGTGATTTAAACTTGATCTGAAACCCGAGCCAAAGCAATCCAAACATAAACGATCGAATTTTAGTTACACCAAAATTAAGTTTAACCCAAAATAATCTGAATCGAAATTAACTCAAATTGAAACTAACTAAAATTGAAATTAATCATAGTAGAAAGTAAACTGAACCAAAAATAACATCTGAAACTAACCTGAACTGAACGTAACATTTAAAAGTAATCCAAACCAAAAATAATCATAATTTATTTTACCCAAATTCAATATGAATCAAATACCGATCCGATTTTAATCCGATAATTGAATCAAAGTGATCAAATAATTTATTTTTATTCATAATTTAAAATTGAAATATTATTAATACTATAATATTATTTATAAAACTGTTAAAACCAATATCTATTCGTATATAATTAATTTATTATTTTTATTCAAATTTAATAAAAATATTATATTTTAATTAAATAATAAAAATTTAGTTGAAAATTTTAATTAATAATAAAATTAATAATATTTTTTTATTCTTTCACTAAACAAATCATATCGTAAACTTTTCGAATCGAATTAATACAAAAAAGTTAAAAACTCTAACATATCTTATAAATCGGATTCAAGTTAAGTTATCATTGCCAAATGATTATTAAAATCGAATAAAATTAAGCCTAAATGATAAGATTTATAAACCAAAAAAAGTTTTTTTTTACAATAATATATCAACAATTATTATATATATACTTGATCGGTCTCGTATCTAAATCAACTCAAATTGACCCAAAAATCAACCGATTGAGTATATACCTAACCCGAAAATAAACCGATTCGATATTGATTAAACCAAAAAACAATCAATTTGATATTGACCTGACCCAAAATTAATTTGATCCGATATTAAACTGATTCGATATTCGATCAACCCGAGTTACCATAGACAATAACTAAATTCAAATCAGACTCGATCCGACCCGAATAAACTGAATCGAATATAAACTTGATCTAGAAGTGATCCGACTCGAAATGACCCGATCTGAATCTGATCCAAATAACTCATTTGCCACATCTACTTTTAATTAATTGTTACATCATTAATTTGTTTTTTTTTAATTACACAAATAGTCTCTCAACTATAATACGTTGCTTTATTAAATCTTCGACTATTAAGAATTAAAAAATAATATTTTTATTATGTGATGGTGCTTTGTTGAGTCGTTCTATTGTTAAATATTATAAAGTGAACACTCAACTATTTATATGTTTCAAACTCATACTTTTCGTTAAAAAAGTGACAATTATCTGGAAGTTAACATATTGACTGAGATATGATAAAATATAATATTATACTTGTTTAAACTATATTTTGTGGATTAATTTTCATTTATATTATATCGTCGAATTAGTATTTGAAATATTATGTCGTCGAGTGAGTGTTTGAAACCAACGACGTTGTCAGTAGATATCATTAGAATATGATATTATCATATCTCGATCAACAAATTAACGTACAACTTAGACAATCGTCAATTTTTAATGAAAAATGACGAGTTTAGAACCTATTATGAATAGTCGGTGACTATTGATAACTTTTAATAGTCGCTAACTCAATAGAATATAACCCTATAATCAGAGAACAATTTTATAATTTTTAATAGTTGATAGACTCAACAAAATAATACTTTATAATCGAGGTATTATTTATATGTTTATTTTATTATTTAAGTCATACGATTATTTTATAAATTTTTTTATAGTGTATTCAATAATAATAATAATAAAAGGCTTAATTCCCAAATAAGTGCCTAAACTATACATTTTTTCCCGAATATATGCCTACAATATTTTTTGGCCAATCTAGGTACCTAACGTTACAAACGTTACTACTTTAGATACTCGGGCTGTCAACGATGTTAATTTCTTTCGTTAAGTGACACATGTCATAATTTGATAATTTTAAAACTTCTTTTATAAAATTTTAAAAAAATATATATATTTTTTTAAAAAAAAAGAAAACTTATAAATTTTGAAATAACTCCAAAACTTTAAAAACATTCATTTCAACCTCTAAATCCACGCCGCCATTTGCCGTTGACGAAGCTTCACCTGACATCACCTCCCACCGCGACCAAAATCCCTATGAAATCGCGATCCCACGCAATTTCAATGACCAATCGTCGACAACTACGACGACATATAACTAGGATGATGGCAGAGACTACGTTGGTGATGGTGATCGTGGTCGGAAAAGACGTCGGTGACAGATTAGTGTTAGAATTTGGATATTTTAAAGATTTTGAGAAATTTTTTTTAATTTAAAAGAAAACATAGTTTTTTTTTTATAAAATATAGTAATTTTTTATTTTTTAAAAAAATTATAAATTTTAAAATTATCAAATTGTCACACATATTACTTACCATAGAAAACTAACAACCATTATGTTTAAGACACCTAAATTGGTCAATTTGTAATGCGATGGCACAAAAAAATACTGTAAGTATCAATTTGAGTAAAAGGGGTATAGTTAGGGGTGTGCATTATTGAATATCAGATATTATCTGATCCGAATTTTTGAATATTCAAAAATTTCAGATACCTTAAGTAATGATCCGTATCTGATCCGAAAAAATTGAATATCCGAAATTTCTAATATTCGGATCCGAATATGTTTTTTTTGCAAAAAAAAAAAAAAAAATCAAAAAAATAACAGAAATTAAAATATACATATTTGCTTGTTTTCCAACAATTTGTTTATATAATTACATGTCTCACTACAATTAAAATTTTAAATAACATACTACAATAAAATAGTCCCCTAAATGTTAAATAGCATAAAGTAGTGTACATTAACAACACAATTGTTGAAATTGATATTTTGATATACCAAATAAATTTGTTAATTAATTTTTATAAATTTTAAGATTATATTCGATTCAATTATTTGAATATATATATTTATTACTTAAAGTTTAAAACGTCAATTTTTACTCTTTATTCAAATGAAAAATTGAGATCTATATTGGAAATATTTTTGAAATAATTTTTACTAAAGGTTTCGAACTTTAATCGAGTCAAAAACTCAATTTTTACTAAGTAGTACCGATACTGCCCAAAATTTTTTCGGGTTTTCGAATAATATGAACATGATTTTTTATTGATCCGTATCCGATCCGATAATCCAGAAAAAAAAATCAGATACTCGATCCGAACTATCCAAAAATTGAAAAATAAATCAGATATCCGAATTTTTTGATCTAACCAATAGATCAACTGATCGGATCAGATGGATTTTTTTTTTGCACACCCCTAAGTATAGTCATGGGTGGGCTTCAGAACTTACCCAGAATCGGAAAACAATCCCTCCGTCACTCTATGTAGCTTCATTCCAATTTATCTTCTCCTGATTTACAAATCGACAAGCTTTACAGTGATCCAAGAACAGTTATGAAGAAGAGGAAGAACCTCGTTAAATCTCTCCAAAATCCTCCATCGAAATGCCCACAATCACTCTCTCAACAAGCACCAACGCCTTCCCTTTCTCTCTTCCCCTCAACACCCCAACCCCATCACCAGAACCAACTCATCTCCTTCCTCAAAGCTCACCTCCTCACCAACCATCAACCATTAACCCCCAAAACCCTCCTCCACTTCCTCAAAACCAAGCTCCACCATCACCCCATTTTCACCCACTACGGCTTACAAGTCTTCTATTGGGCTGCCACCGTCGACGACACTTTCCGCCACGACCACTCCACTTTCCTCTGGATGGCTCACTCTTTGGCTTCCTCTCACCGGTTCTCTCCGCTTCGTTCTCTTCTTACTTTCATAGCCGCCAACCCTTGCCCTTGCTCTCCAGGTATCTTCTCTTGCCCTGAAATGGAACCGCTTTTCCGTTCCGTTATCGATGCTCTTTGTAGATCTAGGAAGTTGGATGATGCTGTTTTTGCCTTCGAAACCATGAAGAAATTGATCGATGGGAGGCCTGGTGTTGTTATTTACAATGTTTTGATTAACGGGTATTTGAAAAATGGGGATTTTGAGGAGGCTTTGAGGTTTTATAAGAGGATGGAAATTGAAAGAGTGAAGCCGGATGTGTGTACTTTTAATACTCTGATTAGTGGTTATTGTAGGAATGGGAAATTTGAAATGGGATTGAAGTTGTTTAGGGAGATGTAGGAGAAAGGCTGTAGGCCTAATGTGGTTAGTTTCAATACTTTGATTCAAGGGGTTTTCAGAGAAAGAAAGGTCGATGAAGCTATTGAGATGGCGAACGAGATGATTCGGTCCGGGTGTGAATTTTCCTTGGCAACTTGCGAGATTTTGGTCAATGGATTGTGTAAGGAGGGGCGGGTTTTGGAGGGATCTGATTTGGTCATCGATTTCTTTAGGAGGGGACTTCTGCCAAAGGGGTTTGATTGTTGTAGTTTGGTTGAGAAGCTTTGTGGTAAAGCGGATGTTGGTAGAGCATTTCGGGTAGTTAATGAGTTATGGATGAAAGGAAATGTTCCGAGTTTGATTGCTTGTACCACTTTGATAGAAGGTTTGAGGAGATCCCAGAGAAGAGATGACGCGTTTGAATTGATGGAAAAGATGCTCAAAGACAGTATTGTTCCGGATATCGTGACTTTTAATTGTCTTATGCAAGATCTCTGTGATTTGGGAAGAACAATGAATGCGGACAAATTTAGATTGTTGGCTTTGACAAAGGGTTTAGAACCAGATGAGATGACTTATAACATTTTGGTGTATGGATATACGAGAGATGGAAGAAGAAAGGAAGGTGAAAATTTGGTGGATGAGATGTTGGATAAAGGATTTATACCCGACATCGCTACATATAATAGGTTGATGGATGGCCTCTCCGATTCTACAAGTTCAACGTTGAAGAAAGTTCGTGCCGTTCACAGATGAGAATGAGTTGCGATTCACAGGTGAAAATTGGTGTTACTTGGTCAAGGCAATCTTATTTGCACTGCAAGAGCCACTTCAGAGAGCACAAAATGGGATACTTGGTGGTGGTCACTGAGTATAATCGGTTGATCAAAGCAATCTTCTGCTTTATAACATTCTGAAGCTAGCTACCGAGCAAGGGCACATAGATGGAATTGGATCTTCCTAAGTGTGCAGAAATCTGAAATTCGACAACAAATCTTCTACTGAAACTGAAGCATGGGATGCTATGCGATGTTACAATTCACTACAGTATTTGGTTATCTGTGCTTTTCCTATTCATACGATTGGCTTAACGCCATTATTTGCTAACCGGAACATCACTACGGTATTTGGTTATCTGTGCTTTTCCTGTTCATATGATTGGCTTAACGCCATTATTTGCTAACCGGAACATCACTACGGTATTTGGTTATCTGTGCTTTTCCTGTTCATATGATTGGCTTAACACCATTATTTGCTAACTGGATGGCCAACCGAAGGACAACTGACTTGTTGCAGAGAATTGGCTAAACATTGGAGTTTAGGATGCCAAGGAAACAAATAATCGGGGTGATTACAGATTACTGATAAAAACCATCAACTTGCACGGTATGTTGCACGGATTCTCTACGTTTGTTTACATACACGAGTCCAAAGCAATTCTGGGTAGGGTATAAGAGTAGAATCCTCCAAACATAGGTAAAACTTAGAAAAACGAATATACCCGTCTCAAACAAATATCTGTATGACATTCACTCTCTAGTCCAGGTAACATAGCTTGAACTTTCATGGTCGAAATCGAACCATAGTCGTGCTAGACTCCTAACAGCATGCTAGGAGTCGCTACACATTTCATTTTGATATACTTTCACCTTGTGGATTGGATTACCTTTGGATTATGATATTACTCGGTTCTTCCCAATTGTTTAACTACTTTTCCTTCCTGGTAGGTGGAATTGAATTATACTTTTTTATGGGAGCCAAAATGTAATTTTGCCACTGTATTAATTTATAATAAATTACACAATAGTACCCTCAAAATAATAAAAAATAACATAAAAGTCACATAGATAACGAATAGATATATTTGTTTTATAAAATAGCATTACATGTAAAAACCTGTGATTTTACAATACAATGTGTGTGTGTGTGTGTGTTTGAGTTTATTATTTTAAAATTTTCCATAATTTAATTATCTTAAAAAGTAATTATTATATTATGTTGTATAAGCTATTAGAAGCAAAAAGCACAACAGCCAAGAATATAAATGAAAACTAAGACTAATAAAAGTATCATATTGAGCTGTGCCAATAGCCTCCATTCCTTGGCAAGGTTGTTGATAACTCCTCCTTTGCAAGTATGGCAGTCGAAGCATAGCTTCTTTACACCATTGCTCCACTTCGGGCAGTCTTCGTTGTTCGAATTCGCCGATGCTCCCTTTTTGGGTATTTCCCAGTATGTATCTTTCTTCTTCGAGAACGCGCATGCATCTGGTGGCTTGCAACACCCGGCCTGAAATATGATTACAGTCGTAATAAAAACCCAGATCTTAATCGGTTGATTCATGCAGCTACGACCTTTAAGAGATGGCTTTGAACAGCTTCACGATTATCAATATTATATATATTACCATGTAAATATTTTAAATTGTCAATTAAATTTAATAACTTAATTGATCATCTTATTTAGTTTTAAATATATTTGTAAAATGTAAAAATAGTCAAGAAATATATTAAAATCTTGTTTGAAGCTGAACAATGTTAGATCTTGTCAAAACAGCTTAGGGTTCTAGTTGAACTTTCCAAAATTTGAAAAAAGTCTAATAAAATTTTCAAAACGATTGTAAGGTTTAATGTAAACTTCTGAAAATAGAAAACAAAATTAAAGGTCTAATTAAAATTTAAAAAATAAGAGGCTTGCTGAGAATTTGATAAAAAAAAAGTTAGGAGTGTAATTTAAAATATTTGGAAATATTGGGGTAAATAAAAATTTCTAAAATATTTAGAGAGACTTGACTAAAATATAAGATTTTTGAAGAGTTTAAAATAAATTTTCAATTTTTGAAGTGTAAGGCCTTTCGACTCTCGTAGGGATGAATGGATATGGGAGGAGCAGGTGTCTCAACTCAAAATTTAAATGTAAACGCATGTTGTTAATGTGTTTTAGTTTTTATATTTTTATATTTAGTTTTTCTTTTAAGTGTTTTAGATTTTTAACATTTTATTTTTTAATTAAAATAGGTTCTGGATGTAAATTGTTAATTGACTAATTATTAATATAACATTTTCAAATGTGTTCAATTACTGACATGACACATGATATATCATCATTTTAGGTGATATGATACATGTCATATCAACAATTAAACACATATAAAAATATCACGTCAGTAACATGTGTTGAAAGTTAGTCAACTAACAGTTTCTGTCCAACATGATCCATTTTAATAAAAAACTAAAACGTTTAGAGTTAAAATACTCTAAAAAAATGGAGAAAAAATATCCATTTGTGTCAGCATTGGATATAAATTTTATCATTATGCCAAAATTGGAGACATATTTAATTTATCTAGATGTTTGATGAGTTTTTATATATTCTAAATTTTAAGATAAAAAATTATCTAATATAAAGAAACTTTATAGTATTTATCCTAATTATATATAAAAATATTATAATAATGATCTAAATTAGATCAAATCCAATATTTATTACTTTATACTTTACTTTGTCCTATTAAATTCTCTCTTCTCCAAATTCAAATTTTAAGCCAAACTATTTGGTAGGGTGACTTTGACTGGCTATAAATTATATGAATAAATATATATATACCTTTAACTTAGTGAGGCTCTGGTTGGCCACCGTAGGGAAGCTCTTGTTGACAAACATCATAAAACTAAAATGAACATCGACAGTGTGTTCCTCAGCGGTGCAAACGCCGGAATCAATGAGGCAGCTCTTTATCTTCTTCCAGTTTTCCTCATTGTTTACTTTGTTGTCCAACCAGTTTGACAAACCCGATGGCGTCTTTGTCTGGACCACCTTCTCGCCTTTATCGTACACTTGGCCGACGGCTTTGTTGGTGACGGAGAAAACGAAGATGGTGAAGCCGAAGATTCCGACTATCAAGATGGACAAGAGGATCAAGTAAACGCACATGCTGCTGCTGCTGCTGCATGCGGTTGCCATTAAACCTACAATTGAAACTAAAACCAAAAGGCTGCCGATTATCAGAAGCGGATCGGTTAAAGCTTTACCGCAGTCGTCGGCATCTTTGACGCTGAGGTAGGCGCCGGAAGCTAATAAACATATGCCCAATGAAAGCAATGCGCTGTTTACCAGACCTAATATGCAATTGCAGATGCAATTCATTGTTTCTTTCTTCAAACAGAATTCTCGTCTTCTTCTTTATAATAACATTTGCTGGGTTCTCCTTCTTTCTTTTCTTTTTTCTATTTTTTTAAATTTTTTGAAAGTTTTTTGTTTATAAGAGAAATGGGGAGACGCAACGAAAGAGAGAGAACTCATGAAACATGCTCGACTGTTTATAACTAAGGTTGTTTTTTTCCTTGTCATCGATGAGTCGAGTTTGAACCATTGTTTAATTTAGGGCAAATTATATTATAGGTTAATATATTATGTTTAGGTAACTGGTTTAGCTATTAAATTTTTAAATTTAACAAAATGATCATCAAATTGTTATAAAATAATTTTTAAATTTATCAAAATTTTATAATTATTACAACTCGTAATGATCATTTTATAATAATTTGATAAATTTAATTAAAAATTGAAAGATTCAGAGGAAACACCATCGAAGCTAGTAAAAGGTGAAGATCACTGATCATACAGCCTAGTGAGAAATTTTAAGATTGTACAACTTTTAAGGTTACAAATTTGACCTCATTGAATGAGCATTTCTTATTTGCATGTGGTTAAGGCCATGGCTGTCTTCTCAGAGCTGTCCATAGGTTCAGGCCAAAGAACTGATCTAACATCTATCCACCAACCGCTGCCCGTACTGAAAGCTACACCCGAATAGATGGGCCGACATATACACCTGACCGCATGTATAGATCGTCCGGTGTTTCGATTTCCGAAAGCCAAGCATACTCTTCCTTTCCGTTGCTTATCTGAGCTCCATTTCCTGCAGAATCAGCAGAATGATTCTTTTTAACAAATTTGATTATTTGCAATCAAAGTTGCTCAAGACAGAAAATTAAGTCAAGAAAAAGCTGTTGCACAATGCCATGCAAAAATTAAAAAAAGAAAAAGAAATCCATGAGCGACAAGAATGGTTAACTTACCAAAGGTGGAATACGGAACATAGTAAGTGCATTTTCGACCTAGATCTTCTCTGTAAGGAGGAGCAAGTACATCGAGCACTGCACAAGGGGTGACAGCGGTAAAGCAATGCAGATTTCCCCCACTTTTCGGGTACAAAACTGAGGTTCCGCACGGTGCAGTTAAAACTTTATCGGCCACCAATCTTGCTAACCTTACTGCCAAAAGAAATTCTGTAATAAATTTCTGCCCTAAAAGAAACAGAATCATACTGAGCTAACACGAACCGATCTGACACCACAGAGCATTATCATCTCAACCAACTTAAAAGAAACAAACTATTTATCACGAGAAAGAGAATGTTGAGAAGTCAAGCAGCCAGTTCATGAAGATGGTGGTCAGGAAAGTATTGCAAGATAAACCCGCAGCTAGGTTACTCCGACTCAATTTTTCTTGTATAACTCCTCTCCAACAAATACATCACATGATTGGGGAAATACGGCTCTTTATAGACCCTCCAAATACAGGTAAACTAAGAAAAAGATTAAACAAACCCGTATTTGACGCATGACCGTATCCGATACTCATACCCGAGTTTGAGTAACATAGACTCAAAGAACTTATGGTTTCAAGACATACTCGGTATATCTCTCTTCTTTATATATCATAGCTGAGCTATTTGATGGTATCAAATGTTCGTATGTACCATTTCCACAGAGTGAATGAAGGTTGGCAATCTTGATGGGAGGTTTTATAAAAATAACCAAACTAAAACTGCCATTCGTTGCCAGCATGATGTCATGATAATTGTTACGTAAAAAATGTATATTAAAATCAAACCTTGAGGGCAACCTGGCTCCTGGCTTTCCTTGATGCATGCTGGTTCAACCCAATCATAAGCTTTCACGAACATAGAACCGTAAAGAACTTTGCTGAATACAGTCATCCCAGGATGGTCATGCAATGGAATAACAGCAGAAGTAGGAAAGCAGAATATACACATCTGCATAGAGCATAATTTGTTCAAGAAACTATTACTGAAGTACAAAAATACTATAACATTAAAGAGTGCAATTTTGTCAGCTGGATTTTAAACAAACTATGGTTCAGCAGCGGACAAAAAACCAGTATTATTGTTGTGGTATCCATACCTCCAAAAGAGGCCTATGGAAACTCAAAACAGAAAAAAGAAACAATTTAAAATTTTATATCTATATAGCTACAACCACATGGACATGGACGCAACAGAAAGGTGCATATAAGACCTGAAATGGAAACCTTGAAATGAAAATATCTGAAGGAGGATTGATCATATGAAACTCCGAAGAGAGGGGCAAGAAAACATAAGGGTAAATAAGATTTATATTGTAAGGCTCACCGTAAAACTATCACATTCATGAATGTCCACATACGTTATTGGTTGAGCCCATCGAGCCACTCTATTCAGTCCAAAAATTCCATGGCCTCGATCATCGTTTGGACTTTCCTCTTTAAGTCCAACATCGGCAGGGACAATTGTGTCTGTAAAATGACATAGATAAAATAATATTAATCATAATTCCATTCTTAAAAAGTAGCAATATCACTCATTAGAATTGACACAAAACGGATGAGTTCCATCGACCTCAAAACTTTGGAAAGCCAATTACCTATACGATTATGATCCAATTCCGTTTTGACATCATTAAGACAAATGTGAATTCAAGACTGCATAATTATAAATCCTATACATTGCCATTGACTGCCAGATTTTCTATTACTCATTCCTCATTCATCTTTGTCAATCTACAATTACATTGGTCGCCCATGTTACTCTGATTTGGATGTGAGAGTGGGTATAGATGTGTGTTCGATACGGATTTGTTCAAGTTTTTCCTTGTCTTTACTCTTTAGAGCGTCCTTAGAGGATCTCCCCATACTCATGGCTAGATATGTGTAGGACATGACACCTTATACTTCTAGCAACTTTTGGAAGCTATAAGAAGCTAAACCAATACTCAAAGCTAGTTCACAACAATTTTAAAAATTAAACACAGTACATTTTGTAAAAATAAACAGCATGTTTGCAGTTGGAAAATCTCTTAACAGACATATTTCAATTTCACAATAAAGGGTTAAATGACCGAATATCATTATCATCGCTTAACTTTCTGTAAATAAACAGCACATTCGCAAGTAAAATATCTCTTAGTGTTACTTTTCTACATTTGGATTAGGCGGTTAAGGTTACCCGACTGAAAATCTTTATCATCAACAAACATCAAAATCCGATTCAATAATCAATGGTTTAAAGCCATCATAACAGAGTCAAATGGATAAGAATCATATCTTTGACACATTACGAAACTCATCTTGTGACATAAGTCCAAACAAACATCTTTCCCTCTTGAAGACCATCTTATTCAACAGAACTAAACCACAAAACCAAGCTCTAACAAAGAACATAAATTTCACGGAAAAGAACATAAATTGAAAGAAAAAAGAACGAAAACCATTTTCTCCTGCCAACTTGGTTTCTCCATAATTAAACATTTCAGCCACAATCAGCCCAGAACTTCTAGTCTTCTTATAGTTGATTCAGCTAAAAAAAACAATAATTTCATCACTTAACATCCTTCTTTTTTTCCTCTAATAAGCCAGTTCAAACAAAACTCAAAAATATTCACAAGATTCAATTTCCCTCCGTTCTAAAACCCTAATCAAACCAAACTTTTACACAAAACATCACAATATACAAAACCCAAATGCAGAATCCCCGAAAACTTTGACATGCTAAAAAATTATGAATAAAAAAATCAACAAAAAGGAGGGGAGGGTAATAATGAAAAAAGAAATACCCAGAAGAGAGCAGAGTTTGTGGACGGGTTGAGAAGGAGCAGAAGACAAGCCTGAAGGTGTAAAAGTGGATTTGCAGAGATCATAAAGAAGCTGCACTTTAGGAGAATTGGTGTTGCTCATAGCCATATATAGCTTTTGCTTTGGAATATAGAGAGCAGAATGTGCTTTCTGCTGTAGAAATACCATGGCCTTATCCGTTACTTTTTGGATCTCTGAGAACATTTTTTGGTATATTTTGGGTGCAATTCTTTTTCCCCTGGTTTTTAGAAGATTTCTGCTAGTGGTTTTCAGAATCACAGCAAACTGCTGTGATGTGTGTGATGATTATTACACCTGGCTTCGGTCCAAATCGGGCGTTAATACAACTTTATAATTGATAATTAAAAGATGAATAAAGTGCATTAAAAACCCACTTAATTATATTTAAACAATGTTTTTTATTACAAAAATTAAATTTTTAAAAATATCATTAAATTATAAAAATAATCAATATCATAATATGATAAGTTGAATATATTAAATTAATGATTATTTTATAGCATATCGATGAAATTTAATGGTTACACTGATTATATAGTATAATTTGATGACTCTAATATATATCATTCTTAAAATTTTACAATATATAAATAAAAATATTTATAATCTTTCCATAAATATTTATATTATGTTTATTATCAAAATATACACATATTAACAAAACTTTAATTTAATCAACATTGTTGCTTTTATGATAATTTAGAGCCTGTAATTGAGCTCACTTTCATAAATAAATTAAAAATATTTATACGTATATTAAATTCAAATATATTTAAATACAATTATTTTTAATAGGAGAAACTATAAATAATTTAAATACATAAAAAAACCTTATTTAAACCGAATTTATCTTTCATTTACCGGTCCGCTTTGATTCGAGTCGTGTGGCTTATGGAAATGTGGTTGTCGTTATGTAGTCTTGGGCCAACATTTTTTATGAATGACTGGCATCCTTAAGCTACGCTCAAAGTTTAAATTGCTCCCTAAACCTTAAAACATTCTAATCAAACCTTCAAACTATCAATATGTTTCAATTAGGTCCTTCCATCAGACAAAAAACCTACTTAAGCATTGATTCTAAACACGTGTGCACATACTGCATGGACATTTTGGATCCGACAAGTAAAAAAGCAGATTGTTAGGGTATGAAACTATCAGCAATTCTTCTTGAGTGAAAGTTTGCCATTTGGCACGTTAGTTAGAGTTTGTGGCTCGGAAACTGAACCACCGTTGCCGGGGTCCTCGAATGCATGAACCGGGTCTGCAAATGATCTAGTGCAAGGCCACCTACACAAAAGATGTTAGAATGGCATATCCATTTCATGATTCAGCAACAGAGCAATGGAAGTGTTGAAAGAAAGTTCATCCCTACCGGCTCGATAATATGGTCTCGTTATCTATAGTTGTTTTTTCGTCAAAAATGTTGCCTGAAAGAATAAAAACAATAGAAATCATGTTTATTTGTTCTTTTCTATATGCATATCGCACTGGCAGATACTATGTAAAGTTCGAAGAAGAATAAAATAGGAGAAGCAATGTATACCTCCATAGAAATTCTTCTTTGAGAAATATTTTGCCAACAACCGACGAGTGTAGTCTGCCTCGTATTTCTTGTACTTCTCGATGTGTTCCGGATCATCAAGTATCCTAACCAAATGGGAGCATATCAAAATAGAATCACCCTTTTAATAGTACAAAGAAAATATTCAAGATGCTAATCCAAGCTCAACACACCCATATGATTCATGTACGGAGCACTACCATAATTAAACAACTCTTTCTCTAGGCAGTGCGTTCATTCACGACAAAATTAAGAGTATTATTTATAAGATTTTGCTCCAATCTCTTTACATCAAGGCATTTGCTTCTCATGCATTTAATCAATAAGGTGTGATTCAGAGAACAAATTTATGCTCAAATGTTACTGAAGATTCAATGAAGTATATATCTGCTTGCATACCAATGCATGAACAGCACCGCTGATCATTTTCAGTCACTTCAGAGTTACAATATATTCTAAGCAATTCAAAGAATACATTGTAACATGATCGCTCTAGCATTAGTCATAACTTACCTTACTGAGACTCGGTGCAAGTGTCAAATGCTGGTATATGTTTAATTTTTTCTATGCTCTTTTCGTATGTTAGGAGGGACATTGGAGGGTTATATTATATGATCCCATACCCACACCCCCACCCAGAAATGTGTAGGACACGATTATTTCAAGAAAAGTGAAGAGTGGGAACAACAAAGTCTCCAACTACAAATCAGTCAAGATTTACACACCCTAAAGAAAATTATTCAACAATATACTGTTCCGTAATCTACCTAGAATGTGAATACTAGCATAACATAGTTTAAACAAAAGATGCCCCTATAACTGATTTGTGAATCGTCCATATTTGAACTGAAAACCTTTTTTAAGCAAAAGCAGACGTCATAACACGAAAGAAAGTAAAACATTGATATGCCCAAAATACAACAATTCTAACAATCATTTCCTGGAAAAGGAAACAAATATTTCCATTTATATCGCAGGAACACAGGGCAAGAAAGGATCAAAAGAATTGTACTGGAAAATTTAATATATAAACAGCAAAACCTTCATTGACCATTTTTATTTCAATGAAATGGTAAGCTTCACGTCCTGCAACAAGTTTCAAAAACTGCAGAGAAATATTTAGGTCACCTATTCTCGAGACTTCGCTCACATTTTAAGAATTACTAGGCATTGGTGAACTAATATGTAGTTTGTAGGGAAAGTTTTTATCCCTGAAAAATTCTCACCAACTATGTCCTATAGGAATCATTGAATCGATGTCAACGAGTCTTAGTTTCAAGAGGCTCGTAAACAGAAAACATCTCGAAATAATAATGGGGCAAGAGATTCAATTAACCAAGGTCTAGAAGCTGAAATTTCACTCTATCCATCAATAGGCCTAGCCAAGGCTCATAAATGGAAAACATCACAAAATAATACCCGGAGCAAGATATTCAATTAACCTAGATTCAGAAGATAATTTTAACTGAACCGTTAATAAGCTTAGAAATGGCATTTATATCTCGACCCAAATAAGCCACACTCACTTGTATCTAACTTAACCAAATCAATAACGAGGAGGATTTTCTTCTAATGATCACAACTATTCATTCTGCAACTTTGTTTTATATATTTCATCAAAATTGACAAAATATTAAACTCCTAATTTCATTTTTTTATATTTTGATTTAAAAAATTATCCAAATATACAGGATGCTATATACCAATAACTGACTCAAGTCTAATGCGTTTTTTCCCTTCAAAATCATTCACTTAAACTGGAAATTACTGTTCCAGAATTGGGTTCAATCAAGGTTACAATGAAGCAATTACTTACACGTTCATCAGTGGAATTTTACCTGAATTTAGAAAGTTCATCAATGAAAAAAAATAGTAAAGGTGACAAAAAAAGACCAACCTACACTGAAACAAAAGTAGAACAATTATAAAATAGAGCTACACTGATAGGGAAAGCCGTATAAAGAAAAAAAACCCAGAAAAAATCAAATTTAAAAAGATTAGAAGAAACAAACTCACGCAAAATAATCAGCAATTTGAGGCTTTTGTTCATCGATATTGAACGTTCCATTTTCGTTGGCGGCGGTGTCAGGCTGGGTCTGAGGGGGCACAAGGGCGGAGGGAACGGCAGGGGAGGACTCAGAATGGGAAGCGGTCACGGAAGGTGGTGACGACGGCGGTGGTGGTGACGATGGCGGAGGTGGAGACGATGGTGGATTCGCGCTCGCCATGTTTGGTTTTCAGACAAAATTCAGGCTTCCCGCAAACCTACATTTTATCATTTTTCCGTACTTTTTGAAATGGATAAACTACAGGTCACTAATGTTTGAATAATTTTATACTTTTTGCCACTATTATTTAAAAAGTTACATTATGATTATTAATGTCATTAAATTATCAGTTTATGACTTCTCGGTTATTAATTTAATTAAGTAATAATAATAAATTATAACGCGACATTAACGAAAAGTTTAAAATTTGAGGACCAAAAACCATTTCATCAAATTATAAAACAAACTATTATTACGAATATTTTTTTATAAATTTGAGATGATTATAAGATAATATATATTCTAAAATCCCTCAACTATTTAAAAATGAAAGTTTAAATATCAATGTATATGTAATGCTCAAACCCAAGACCTCTAAATATAATAATCATTTCTTTAACCATTGATATCATTTGAAAAGTATTTATTATGAATAAATAAAAAATGAAAATTCAAACATCCATATATATGTAATGCTCAAACCCAAGACCTCTAAAGATAATAATCATATTTTTAATAATTAATATTATTTTGTTAGTGTTTATTATGAATAAATTAAATTAATGAAATTGAGTAATATAAATATAATTAAGAAATGATGTATGATTGATTCACCCATCTAAATGTTGACGCTTAATATTTTTTTATGTTGATTTTAATATTTATATTTAGAGTTTATATAATTTCTTCCAATAATATTATCTTGAATATTTAAATTTGAGTCTTCCAAATAAAAGTACATCGTGTCTTATCATTACATCCAAAATTCGTCGTTAATGTCTTAAATGTTTTATCTAAATAATAAATGAACTCCAATATGTATACTAATCATATTCAAAACTAGATTTCATTATCAGTTGACATAACTATTGCGGGGGCATAAAGTACAAGCTTTCGAGAATTAAATTAAAACAGAAATATAATATTTAAATTAATAAATACTAAATGCAATGATCTAATTTGAATTTTCTCTAGTCTGCTAGTTGAACCAATTTAAATTAGCTCTGATGGGTTTCGGTCATATAAATCGGACCGGACAAACTTTCGATTCTCGGTTCTTTATATAAATCGTACCGCACAAACTTTCGGACGACACAAAGAAGATGGGCGAAAGTCCACAATCCAAAAGGAAAGAAGAAGATGACACAAAGAGAGGACTCTAAGAGTTAACTGTAAAGGCCATATAGAACTAGGCAACATGACTACTTACCACGCACACAAATATATATAACATCTACATTTTCTTGAGTTCCGCTAGAAATTCTTGCATGTCATTCGACTTCGCATTCGAAAGGCCTGCATTTCGAATGAGAAAAAAGAACATGAAAGCACTAACTTGCCAACAGCTGTGCAGTCTGTTGGTTGGAGATGTTGGATCATAAACTCCAATGATTAGGACTCAAAGTCTCAAAAATTAACAGTTCAAAACTTCAAATACCAGAAAGCACTATCTCGTGGATTTAATGCAGTACTAGGCAACTTAAATTACCTTGAAACATGTCATGCACAGAGGTGTCTTCATATATTTGCAGTGCCTCATTAATAAGTCCAGCAAAATGCCCTCTTGAAACAGACTGTATTTCAAATTCTTTAAGTTCACTGCAGTCTCTCCCCCAACCTATGGAGAAGTTTAATTTTAGGCAGATTCAGTAGAGGGGAAAAACTTATATGCAAATAACCACTCCGAAAATATTGGCATATATCATAATGAAGTATTCCTCTCTCCAATGTAAGTTTATTCCTTAATGAATCCAATTCTGCGTCTACATCAGATTCAGATAGAGCATCTTTAATCATTGAAGACCTAGCAAGTAGCTCATCCTAGAAAGGAGAATACATGAGAATTCACAGTTATAACTAAAAACAAAGAAAATATTAACAAGGTATAAATAAAGTACAGCAAGTTTTTAACAAGTTAAGCGTGCACTTATGAAGAGTTCTCCATCTTTGTTTATTGTTTTTTCTAGACTTCCCTATTTTGTTAGCACATAGCAATTATTATATTTTTATAGTAAAAAAAATCATTAACTAAAAAATCAGAAATTTAGCTAGGAACTTCAAATTACTGCTAAATAGGCATCCCACATGAATTTGAAAAATAATCACCGACATTGTAATTCCATGGATTTTACTATACCTTGCACTATTTTGAAATTTTAGTTCCCAAAGCAACCTAAATGAGAATTCCTATTCTATCCATTATTCTATGCCATCTATGTTATACAATGAAAAACAGCTGCATATCCATAATATCAAAAAGGCTCCATGACTGTCCAATAGTTTAGTCTCAATTTTGTTCAGTATTCTGAACATTTTACACCATTTAAGTCCAGGGAATATCAAGTAATACACTCGACATGCATGATGCAACAATAAAACCCAATTCTCAACATGTAAGGATTTGCATACAAGTAATGCCGAACATATATATGTACCAAAAAAATTAAAGATGCTCAGAATCATAGCAATAACCTACATTTTTGGGTAAAGAAAAACCTTCAGGAATCATAAAACAATGGCGAAGACAGTACTCCCACATCGCAAGTCGCTTATCCAAACTTGATTGAATCATATTGCATATATAATTAATACCCTAAAGAAGAAGCAAAAACTCCAGAAAATTAGTGTGCCATTGAGAAGAGGATCAGGTCTTTAACTGTTACTATAACAGACTCAACCTTCCTCTCTCTTCGAAATATGGCAAAATTGTTACTTTTCCTGCATTCCCTAGTACTCCTCATTACTCAACCATATTTCTTCAATTCAATAATTTTAAACACTTAAGCTATACCTGAAAAAATGAATTCAAAATTTTGGGAGTGTTTCATTTATTGTATAAATTACAAGAATAAAATAAATATATGTAATATATATGCAGCAGTAAAAAAATCAATATGATTATATATTTGAAAGATATAAAAAACATTAATTTCAACTTCAAATTAACCAGTAAATCCGTATGCAATACATCTATAGATGTAAATGATAATCCTAAATGTTACATTTACATGTGATTTACTACATGATTTATACAATTTATGAAATCTATGTTTCCCCAAAGCAACTTCAATTTATTTTCATTCAAGAATTTGAAGGAAGAAAAATATGCACATATGCTTGAATTCTATAAACAAAGAGCAATCAACATGTGATACATGATTAACAAAATTAAGTCATCTAAATCTTCAATTTAAAGCAAATTAATTTGTGCAGCAACTATTATTGGCAAAATTCTTGAAACTATAAATCATTTTCAGCTCTAATAAATCAATAATTCAAATAAAAAATGCAGGTTACCTTAGTTAGATCATGGGAACGGTCGCTACCATCGGTTTTCAAAAGTTTGGAAGCCTCTCTGCATGTTTTCACCAAAATTTTACAAACCTTTAACTTGAGAAATGACAGGGGAAAATAATTAAAAAATGAAGAGAAATCGAGAGAGATACTGGAGATAGAAATCGAAAGCATCGTTGAGGAGATCATCAACTGTGTTCAGCGTTTCATTGATGAAAAGCTGGGGATTTAGGTTAAGAGAATCGAAAATTGCTTCGCTTTCGCTGCCTTCCATTTTCACAATCTCTCCCTTTTTTAGGGTTCTTAGTTCTAGTTCTCGCTTATTTCGAGTTTAAAATAGTTTTCGCTCGATTTTCCCGCCAAGTCGCAACAATTTTTTTAATTATTATTTTTCTTAATTATTACAATAAAAAAGTATTACAATATATTATCCATTTAGATTTTGTATAATTTAATGATAATACACACGATTGATACAATTATTCGATTCTATACCTTTATATAATATAATATATTTTTTTCAGTGCAATAAAAGTTCACTTATGTAATTTTTTTATACTCATAGCAAAATTATTTTCGTTTCCTTACTTATAATTGTATAATTTTCAGCTCTATATATTATGTATTAAATTAGAATAAAGTATAAAAAAGAATTATACAATTACAAGTACTCAGCTAAAAGGAAAAGAAATAGATTTTCACAAGAATTGCAACGAAAGCCCACTTGGGGCGCTGAACCTGAAACAGGGCTTCGACCGAGTTATAAGTCCAATCTCGAGGCCAACCGGCGCCCAAAACTATATAATAAAGAAACTATTGCTGAAAGTTTGTTCTCTCAATCGATGGCCCAAACAAATAGAATTTCGACCGCCACCACGGCAGCCTGGTCTATCTCCACGGGTCACCTACAAACTCACATGCATTATGCAAATAAATAAATAAATATAATACTAAAAATATAACAATATTGAAATATTTTCCAAAAAACCTCAACGTGCTAAAGGCACCAAAAGAAAAGGAATTTCCTTTTCCAAAAAATATGAAATTAAGAAAATAGATAGAGTAACCTATTAAGTTATTTTAATAATTAAGAAAAGTATTATTCTTTTTAAAAATTATGAGTTCTAAAAACTGTTTCTAAAAGATGTATATGCATTATTAATTATTAAAAATTTATAAATATATATTATATTATAATCATAAACTATTGAAAATTAAAAAAATATATATGAGAATCAGATTTTGTTAACAAGAGAATAAGACACTTGTCCTAGAAAGAGTGGGGCCACGTCTCATATGTGAAAACCAGCCAAAAAGGGGGCATGCCAGCACATTATACATGCGTAAAACTTTTGCTTTAATATTTCATATTTTTATTTTCTATAATTATTTTTAAAAAAATATTGAAAGAGAGAGGGAGAAAGAAGCCCCATAAACGACAGGTGAGTTAAGAGGGGATAGCACAGGCCCCCACTAAGTGGGTTTGAAAGGCTAAGAGAGTGGGGTCCAGGAGGCATTCGTCTCTCCCACCACCCCCACGTGACACCGTCACGAGAAAGATGAAAGGCCGAGTGACGCACACCACTTCCTCCCCACGTACTCCTTTTTCCCTCCGTTGAAATCTACCCCCTTCCCCCACCCATGCTTTAGTATCCCCCCCTCTAATTTCTAAATATGTTTAATAATAATAATTCATGTTTGATTTTTAAAATTATTTTTTTTGGATAAGTAAATTTTTATATTCATCTAAAAGAAAGTAGTAAAGCTGCTACAAAAAACTTTACAACCAGCTACATTAGCTTCCATTCTAGGCACAACTGCTTATTTACATCATCCATCCTATTCATATGACTTCTCTACAGCTTAATTCTAATAGCCTCTTTTATAATATTCACAATTGTATCAGCCGAACGAATCAACCCTCTAAAATGTTTGTGATTGCATTATTCCCATATGAAATAAACAAAACCAGTCAAAGCTAGCTTAAGAATATGAACTAAGAGGGACTTACCCTTCAAATTCGAGATCATCCAGCGAAGAGTATCATCCTAGCAATTCAACACCTGCTGTTGCAGCCCACAAGCGTGCATAACAGCACACCATATCTCCCTCGCATAGGACCACTCCAAGAAAATATGGTTTCGAGATTCCAGTCCATCACCACACAAACCACAAGCATAATCAGTCACCATACCAAAACGAGCTAATCTGTCTTTTGTTGGCAATCTGTCAAGTATCATCGTCCAAGCAATTAAAGAGAATTTTGGAACATGAGCTGGGAATCATATAAGCTGATGCCATCCAATATTTTCCCTCCTATCCCGAATATTATCCCAAATCCATCCACCTTTAATCTGTGACCAATTAACATAAGGACTGAACGATCTCCTAGCCTCCTCCCGCAGCTTAATCAACTTGCTAAGAATCCAACTGAATTGAGGCTTACTGTCAACATTCCAATAGTCCACAGATTTAAAGCAGTAACCCTTAATCCAAGCAATCCACAATAAACCATCACCAGCAAAAATATTTTTGACAAGCATAAGACAACAAGCTTTACTCCAATCAGCTAGGTTCCTTAGTCCAAGACCACTCTCAGATTTTAAGGAACATACCTGATTCCAACTCACTCTAGCTCCTCTTGCAGTGATATCACTTCCCTTCCAAAAGAACCTCATGCAGAGTTTTTCAATGTCTCTTATAACACCATTGGGCAAGATAAATTGCCTACTCCAATAACTAAAAATGCTAAACAGAACAGTCTTCACAAGTTGTAATCTCCGCCCAAAACTCAGTTTTCTACTAGACCATTGACCAAGCTTGTCTTTAATTTTCACTTGTAAAGTCGAGCAATCCTTACCCATGAGCTTACGAGTTACCAGAGGTACTCCAAGGTACCTGACAGGGAGCTGACCAACTCTAAACCCAGTAGCTCTTTGGATCTGCTCCAACTTATCCACATGCACTCCACAAGGAAAAAGTTTAGTTTTAAGAGCATTTAGTCTTAGACCAGAGAGTTCATAGAATTTGTCGAAAGTACTTACAACCCCCATCACAGCATCCAAAGACCCATGGCAAAACATAAGAAGGTCATCAGCAAAGCAAATGTGTGTAAGAGAATTTTTTATACATTTAGGATGAAATCTAAAGATACCATTCTTGACAGTAGCATCCAGGAAGGAAGAGATGGCATTCATAACAATTACAAAGAGGTAATGAGATAATGGATCTCCTTGCCTAACCCCTATTGCACCCTTAAAATAACCTACCAAACTGTCATTCAAAGAAATTGAGTATCTAAGGGTAGTGACTCATGCCCCAATCCAGCCATAAAACACTTCAGGCAGTCCCAAAGCTTCAAGAACACTCAACAAAAAGTCCAAGCAAATTGAATCAAAAGCCTTTTGCAAGTCAATTTTTATGGCACACCTAGGAGAAATGTTCTTCCTAGAGTAGCCCCTAAAAATATCTTGAGCAAGCAAGGTATTATCAATAATGTTTTTACCTTTAACAAATGTTGATTGGCTAGGAGAGATCATACTAGGAAAGAAATAAGCTAGCCTAGTGACCAATATTCTAGTAATTGTTTTATAAATAACTGAACAGTAGGAAATAGGCCTAAATTCTTTTGCCATACATGCATTCAAAGACTTAGGCACCAAGACAATGGTTGTGGCATTAAAGGCATACAATAAGGAATATTTTTGAAAGGAATACCTCACAACATCCAAGAAGTTTTTACTTACAATCTCCCAAATAGCCTTGAAGAACCAGACAATATACCCATCAGGACCTGAGCTTTTATCCTTGTGTTGTCTAAACAGGGCTTCCTTGATCTCATTATTTGTAATCTCACCAGTAAGAAAATCCCCAGCTCCAGTAGGTAAAGAGTAATTCAGAAAAGGCTTCAACAACTAAACAGAACATCCCTTAACCATAGGGTCAGCAGTGCCAATAAGATTTTTGAAAAAGTTTACCAACTCAGCAGCCATATCATCAAAAGACTCATAATATAACCTATTCTCACCGTTGATGACTTTAATGGTGTTTTTCTTCTTGTTTGATTCAACTCTCTGGTGAAAGAATCTAGTATTCAAGTCACATTCTTGAAGCCAATGAATCTTAGCTTTTTGCCTATATAATTCAGATTCATCAACTTCTAAAGCTACTAATTCTGCCTGAATCCTCATCCAATCTCATTTGATCAATATGAGCAAGGTTAAAGAGCTGAATAAGTTCAAGTTCAACCCTATTCCCAACCACTCTACCAGAAATATCAGAGAAATGATTTTTGTTAAGATATTTTAACAAAGGCTTTAATCTTTTCATTTTATTAAACAATACTTGCATAGCAATTCCCTCACACTGTTCTTGCCAATACTCCTTGAAAACCCTAAAGAAATTCTCATTAGCACAACAATTGAAGAATTTAAATGGCTTAGGCTTGTGAACCTGAGCACCATTTTGAGTCCAAACAACCCTAGGACAATGGTCAGAAACCCCCTGAGCTTTAAATTCCACAAATGAATCTGGAAACTCCAGTAACCACTTAGGATTAATTAGGATCCTATCCAATTTCCGAGCCAAATAAGAGCCCTCTTGTTTATTTGACTAGGTATAAAGTGGACCAATAAAATGATGATCTTGAAGTTCTAAGTCCACCATACACCCTTTGAATTCCTCCATATAACAAGTACTGTGCAAGCCCAAAGTATCAAAATTAGAACTCTCTTAAGTATTGTCAATAACATTAAAGTCACCCCCAATCAGCCAAGAAGAAGAGCCAATATCAATTTCTAAATTCTTTAAGTGCTCCCAAAGGCCCCTTCTAGTTAGACTGTTGTTGATGCCATAACAACAATAATCATTATCATATGCCCGGTCACAACACCTACAGTTGAAAGGGCTTGATCACAACACTTTAACACAAAAAATACAACCTCTTTTTCCACAATACACATAATCTACCTCCATTAGTAATGTAACATCCTCAATATCGGGTTAGTGATCAAATTGTAAAGTTTCAGAATTTGGTGACTATAGTAGAACTATGGATTAGTTCAATGATTTATTTGGAAATAAATCATAAAAGTTGTTGGTAATTATTAAATGAAGTAAAAGGTAAAATGGTCAATTGAAAAGGAAAGATATTTTCTCCCTTTTATTAGGAGATTAACACGTGGGGAAGAGGAAGATGAAAACTCTCTTATTCTTTACTTGCTTTCTTCTTCTCCAACGTGCCCAAGCTAGGCAAAGGTAAGTTTCTTTATTTTTTGATTATTAGCTAAAATTTAAGGTTGAGTTTTTATTATTAGGTGATAATTAAGCATAAGAAGAGCTTAAATTATCTTGAAACA